ATTACCATGTACTAACAAATTATTAACTCAATTTCACGAGAAAAGTATCCATTGTTGTTTATTCTGAGATGATGTTCAACAAAAAGGTAAGTTTGATCATTTCCATTGTTAGGAATTGTATTTTTTAAGACTATGGAAATCTTAATTAGTAAGAATGTTGTGAATGCATTCTAGATTCTCATATTTCCAATGAATATTCTGCCGTTTCAGGAGTTTTCTAAAACAATTCATACAAAACATGAGATAGAATAGTTTAAAAGGATGGCCCAAGCGAAACACTTCTTAAAAGGTTATCATTATACAGATCACCTCCACCATACATGTGCCACAAGTTTCACTCCTTGCACAATTTAACAGAGTTCTGGCCTAGAAAAGGTAACAAATTAATTACCAAAAGCATGTTCACACAATAAAATAGGTATTACAGAGCAAAGTATCAGAGTTACAAAGAGCAAACAGAGTTTGTTTTATAAGCTAGAAAAAAGGGATGTTGTTAACATGAAACTGTTTGATAAAAGAAACTGTTTTGTTTGAAGTTGCTGAGATTATTACGTAGGGTCCATAGAGCTCAATGTTGGAATCCATCATTATCTTCCTAAGCTTCTGGCCGCCACAAGCAGACCGAAAGTGCACGTCTGGTAGATTCAGATTGAAACACCAAATTCACAGAACCTCCAATGAGAAAAATACCAAACCAATAAATGAGGAATCAGATGGAAGCAATCTCCAACTCCAATGACAATAAACCACCCATATAAACAAAGCACTCTCGGGTTGCTGCATCACTGCCGGATGGACCTCTACATCTCACAGCGCGCACCATCAACCATGGAAAGACATCAGCGCGCATGGAGGAAGCGGTGAAGCCTTGCTGAAACCGAATAACGCACCCAGGAACCGAACCGAATACAAGGATAGAGCATGGTGAATAAAGGAGTGGAACCGAATACAAGAGAAACCATAACCGAATACAACATATTCTTCATCTTCCATATGCACTGGAACTGAATACAATGCTGTAGAATTCCTTCTACGCGCTGGAATCGGATAACCAACTTGGAACCAAATACAACTTGTTGTACAATTCCTTCTACATATTAGAACCAGATAACTCAACTTTGGAACCGAATACACGGCCATGAAGATTTAAATGAAATATAAACATATTTCACTATTTTTACTATAATAATATCATCTTAAAATATATTTTATTTGATTATTTGTATCCGTAATATCAAATTCTAATGAGAGAAAATTCAAGAACTTTTCTATTAAAAACAACAAAAATAAATTAGCTGACCTTTTGAAATTAACATTATAAAACTGTTTACTTTTTTGAAAAGAAACATTTTTTAGCAAATATTTAAATCTTAACTCATCATCAAATACTACCCCTTGTGTAAGATTACCGATACAATGCATTGAGGACTTTCGTAACCTATTATCTACCCCTATTTTACTGATTTTACAATCTATTCGATGAATAAAATTATAATACACCCTTAAAGACACATACATGAGTGAATTCCAAAATTTAATGTAGCTTCGTCGAGTTATTTAACGTAACTTTATTCCTAAATTTGAGTGATCATGAATTAAGTGAAAACAGTGTCCTATATGTTGATTTAAGTGCTTAATATGTACCAAAAAGTACTGCTTAGTAGTTTCAATAATATTTGTAAGAAAATAGCATTCACATAACAAGAAAAAATTAATATTTTTTAAATATTCAAGATATATTCTGTTAATTTAATTACATGTTTATAAGATGAGTTGGAGGAAATGATTTTGGGGAGACCGAGTATGAATTTGAGAGGATTTGAGGATAAATTTTGTTGTTATTTATTTGAGTGAATTTGGAGGTAATTGGAAGTCAATTTGGAAGTAAATTTTGTAAAAATTAGTGTAGAATTTAACTGATTTGACAGATAAAAAATATTATTTAATTGGTAGAATTGAAGATTACCAAAATGTTCATAATTATAAAAGTAATATAAAATGATAATTGTTAATATTATATATAATTGTTAAAATGTTTATATGTAGAAAAAAATAAAAATTAATTTTTAAAATGTAGAAAAATGATAATTTAGTAAATTGAAATAATAATAATAATAATATTATTATTATTACTATTATTATTATTATTATTATAATAATAATTACTATTTTTAATTCATCTTTATCAATCCATTACATGTGCAAATGTACGAGGATAAAAATGAGAAGGGATGATACATCCTGCAAATCTGTACTGATGAGGAAAGATGAGAAAATCCTTTCTCCCGCAAATCCACGCTTCTAATTGCTTGCAGATCATTTAAAGTAAACATGCAATTCATCCCAAATCCATCTTCGATAATCAACTATAACAATATATTTCATCAAAGTGAACACAATATAAAAGATTTTCTCTCTTTAAAATACTCAATTAAATTTTGATGCACAATATTATATCACATTAACTAATTAACTGAAAATATATTAAATCATTTATAAAAATGTTATTAAATTATCTTAAAGTAAATACTATGAATTTTTTTTTAATTTACAGAGTCTAAAATTAAAATTTATATATTTTGATAATATTAATTTGGATTATGAATATTACGAGCAATAATAACAATAACATTATAAAAATAATCTAGATTAAGTGTATATATGGATATATAAGATTCAATTATATATTTATTCAGCAAATGGTTTACATGTTTATAAACAAAATTTCTTAAAATATATGACATCAAAACCTACAGATAACAAAACTTTATCTTCTACAATGTTTTTTTTTAATTTAATCTCTTTTCTATTGGTTTTTTATAAAAAAAATATATTTTCTAGATTACCTACATATAATTTTAGGTTTAAATCCTCCGATGATCTTCGTATTTGTATGAAAATCTCAAGTGGATCTTCATACTTCCAACTGTTTCAATTGGGTCCATATATTTGCAAAATATCTCAATTGGGTCCAAATATTTGTAAAATTGAGCCAATTTTGCCCTAACCGTTAAAGTTGTCACAAATGGCGGTGGTGATGTGTTGTATAATTAATACGTTGATGTCAAAATATTTTATTACGTGATTTTTTTTTAATTTAAGAGATTATGACATGGCAACCCTTGGTCGTTCTCTTCTTCTTCTTCTTCTCCTTCGTTTTGATCTTCTATCTCGCGCATTTATGGTGGCTCGTTCACGACAGCGTGTTTAGCGTTTTTCTTCTTTCCCCTTTTTTTTGCTGGTTCTGTTCAAAAGTTGTAGGAAAAACTGAACAACGCGCGAATGGCTAAAAGAAGGATTTTAAGCTATGTAATGTAAATGTGAAAGGATGATTTTCTGTATGTTCACCGGCTGTTTGAAAAAATGGCTAAAAGAATGGAATGTAACTTTTATTTTATTCTTTTTAAATTTCTTGTTTTTATTTCAATTGCATGTTCTAATTTCTTTTGGCAATTGTTGGTGTCAAGGACTTGTTTTGCGTAATTTGTGGCAGGGCAAGTGAACGATAGAGTATGGGGAGAACTTCAAGGGATAAGAAGGATGTTGGCGTAATTGGATTTTAGGATATCTATTATCGGAGAGCAAAAGAGGAAGGTTGGCGTGCTCGAAGTGCCTTTAAACTCCTTCAGATAGATGAGGAATTCAACATTTTTGAAGGTGGGATGTTTGTTGAATATTTTTTCCGCTGAGACACTGTTTCGAGATTAATTTTTTATTTTTTGCAGGAGTGAAGCGTGTTGTAGATTTGTGTGCTGCCCCAGGTAGCTGGAGTCAGGTAGCTGGAGTCAGGTACTTGTTTCTCACTTGCAGTAGCTTTTCTTCATTGTTTCTCACTTGCAGATTCATGCCAAGACTCAGGATTGAAATTAAGCTCTATCAAACTTAATGTTCACTTGCATACATTGAGGGTGGGTTTTCGTCCAGGGAATATAGGATTGGATCTCTGTGGGAGAGACGCCATTAGGTTTTTGTGTTTCTCTAGTTGTCTTTGCAGGTTGAGGTTGCTGGTGAGGATGATGGAGGTGCGGAGCTTTGTGGTTGTGGTCATGGAAGCGCGACTTGGGATTTCTGGGTGGCGCGATTCGGTAGTGATAGCGTCTTCGTGGCGGCTTTCCGGGGTTAGAGTTTTGCAAAGGATTTCTGGGTGGCGTGATTCGACAGTGGTAGCGTCTTCTCGACAGCTTTCCGGGACTAGAGTTTTGCAAAGGAGATGACGGTGAGGCAGTGGCGATTTGGTGTTCGAAGGGTTTTTCAAATTGGGTCTTTGTAGTTTTTTTGAGTGCATGTCATTTTCCCCTTTTTTGTTATGCTTGAATAATTTTTCTATTTTTTTTAATTTATTAAATTTCATGTCATTACTGACAACATATTTTTTTTAATAAAATATCCACCTCAACATATCCATCTCAACACATTTTAATGTCCTTTGTGACAACTTAACAATTATGACAAAATTAACTCAATTTTACAAATATTTGGACCCAATTGAGATATTTTGCAATTAAAACAGAAATAATAAGAAAATGTGTATATATGATCTCTTTATTAACTGTTATTTACGTTAATCATCTTAATTATGTAGTTCATATTAAAATTGAAAATTTCTAATCACTATTACAATAAAGTTAAACTACTTTAAAACTAAAAGATTAGCTACATTAATATCTAATTGATGTAACGGCCATTTTTAGATGACGTTACACAGTTCAAGAACTAAAATAAAAGATTATTGTGACATTTAATAAATAAATATAAAATATACATGATAAGCACAGAAGGACCAAGCCGAGCCGAGCTGTATAGCAGAAGCGAGCGAGCCACGTCAAAATTGAAAAAACGATGTTAGTACTGATTTTAAACACGTAATTGTAGTAACCGCGACAGGTGGCACTGTTGAGAATTGAGATTTTTTCCACTAATCACAATTTCATCACGCTCGGAGACGCTCTTCCGCGTGCCACAATAATATAAATTAGATTTCTGCCATCACCAATTTTACTTCATTTTTTCTCTTCCATTCCTTCATCCCCAACCCAACCCTCCCCTCCTTCCTCCTCTTCTTCTTCCACCTCAAAACCCTTACCTACATCTCCTCCTTCAGCGTCGCTCCCAACTTCATTTTCCATTTTTGCCCCTCCTTCTCGTGAGAAAAAAATGGTTAGTTATTCCTCTTTCTCTGTTTTGTTCTGTTATTTCGGAAGCCTCTGGATAGAGAACTCAGCTGAACTCAACTCAACACAGCTTCTGACCGATTTCAAGTTCTCTTCCGAGAATCCCATCATTTACGCTCATAGTTCTCTTCTGTGTTCTCTGTCTGTCTGGATTTTAAATGATTTTCGACGGCTACTGATTTTGTGTTTTTATTTTATTTTGAGCTGGATTCGTGGTCGATCTGATTATCAACATTGAACAGAGTAGAATCGAAGTTTTAATCATGCGTTTTCTGCTTCGCTAACTGTTTGTGCGCATGTTCGGTGATAGATCTGATTTTGATATGGATTTCAGCGTTCAATCTGGAATTGCATTGTGGTGTAGTATTTTTTTCTGCCTGCTTGATTCTCTAGGGATGAATGTAATTATAGCATATGGTTTGGATTATCTTTTGGAGCGTCTTTTGTTAGGTTTTCTGCTTTTAAGTCCTTGGATCCCTTTTTCGTTGCTCATTTTCGTAGTTTTTTTTTCTTTTTCTTCTTTTATGTTTATGTTTATGTTTATTTTATTTCTTCTGTGCGTAATCGCTTGGGCTTGCTGCTTCAAATAGATTTATTGAAAAACTTTGGTGTTTATTTTAATTCAGTCGTATCTGTCGAAAGCATTTTTGGATAAACTTCTTCCTAGAAGAAAATAAGAAGAAAACAAATTTTCTTGTAGAGGTTATCTCGTTTTAGCTCTTCCAAAATCAGATTTTTAACTTACAAGCTAAATTTAGGCTTACGAGGATTTTTTTTGTTCACTTTCCTTGAGTTTTTCTTCTAAAAGTCCTTCTCTAGTAATTTTTCCTAGCAGACCTAAGTTTAATTCACCCTATGCAGAGGAATCAGACATTGTTGTTGATGTTTCAATCACATTGCATGGGCTTGTGGATCTGCTTGCTTGTACATTGTAGGCATTGCTAGTGTGAAAGGAGGTGTTTTCATAATGTAACTGCCAGTTGCTTGTTAACGTGCGGAATTTTACAGGCGAACGCAGCATCAGGTATGGCTGTCCACGATGACTGCAAGTTAAAGTTTTTGGAGCTCAAGGCGAAGAGGACATATCGGTATATCGTTTATAAGATTGAGGAGAAGCAGAAGCAAGTTGTTGTGGAGAAGCTGGGTGAGCCAGCAAATGGTTATGAAGATTTCACTGCCAGTCTTCCAGCTGATGAGTGTCGATATGCTGTTTATGATTTTGATTTTGTCACGGAAGAGAATTGCCAGAAGAGCAGAATTTTCTTCATTGCATGGTAATGTCAACAACTAAGTTAGCACAAGCTAAACAACCATAAATATGAAAATTCCAATCTAGTGTTTTACAAACAGTTAAGATTTTTTATCGGTAATAATTTTGTTGCTTTTGTTTGAAGGTCCCCTGATACATCTAGGGTTAGGAGCAAGATGATTTATGCAAGCTCCAAAGATAGATTCAAGAGGGAGCTTGATGGAATTCAGGTTGAGCTGCAGGCAACTGATCCTACTGAGATGGGTCTTGATGTGTTCAAAAGCCGTGTCAATTAAAAGATTCTGTTTATGCATTATGAGTTGTGATGGGGATCTTCCTTAAGCTGAAGTTCCTCATATGGAAATGTCTATATTTTGTGGGATGGTCAACTTGGCTAATTTGGACTCAATTTTCCAAGTTTTGACAATGAAGTCTATTGCAACTTCAACCAGCTTCTCTTCGTTCCAGTGTATCTTCTGGTTTGTGACATACAACCCGTGTTTTGGTGTCATCTTAATCCTATGGCTGCTAGTTAATTTTTGTGACTGTTTTTTGTGTGATTGGACTAAAATGGGATCGGCTATTGATGTAATATCGACAATTCTTACTAATGTCTTGCAACTCAAATTAACTGAACTCAAATTTGTCATAATTGCATTTGCATTTGCATTACACAACAGTTAACTGAAATGATGTTTCATAAACACCGTAGGATTTTAAAGTATTTAGGGTGATTAAGCTTCTCTAATTTTGTACCGAAAGTAGTTTTGTTTATATAATTGCAAAAGTTCACAACCAAAGCCCACATACAATATACCATCGGGCAAAATATGTTTTTAATACAACATCTATTAACAAATTTTGTTTTTAATATAACTAATGTCTTCTTTTTACTAATTTCGGTTTTAGTATAATTAATACTTGCTGTGTGCCATGTTACATCAAGGGGTAACTTATATATGCATTACGTGACGTAGGAGGAATGTCACTTGGATGGTGGTTGAAAGTGGTAGGTATAAATTTTAAGACTTGTAATTTTTAAATCGGGGTATGTTACTATAAATAAATGCATCTATCGTTGTCTCTTAAAAAACTCTCAGAAAGGGCTAATTCTGAATGGAAAATGATACTTTAACACAAGTTTTTTTTACACCACTTTTGACATGTGAAAGTGTCAAAGTGTCATTGATTCATTTTCACTAGGTGAGGATTTTTTCTCTTCCTTCTCAATCGTTATTTTCGCTACACCACCATTTTTTTCTTTCGCTACTCTAATTTTTTCTTTGGTCTCTGTTTTGCTTTTTTTCGAGTTGCTCTTTGTTTTCTCTTCTCAACACTTGTTCTCTATTTTCTCATTCCAAGATCATTTATAAGAGAAGATCGTCTAACATCTTTCTTTATGTTTTGAAGTTTAACAAATAATAATGAAGTTTAACAAATAATAATGAATAAAATAAATATTTGACAAAATATTATCTTTGTAAAAATAACATAGTTAGAAGAAAGACATTTTATGAAACAAATGTTATAACATTTGAATGTACAAACAAAAGTTTTAGTAAACGCATTAGAACCAAATGATTCTACTATGAGTACCAGACGATCTTATTACCAATACACGCACTACTGTTAAACCATGCTTTATGAAAAACCATGCTTTACGAAAAGATCATTGGACTAAACAATATCTTAGTAACATGACTAAACAATGCAACAAAGTGTTATAATATGTTTTTGGCAAATGCATGTTAAACCATGCTTTATGAAAAGACCATTGGACTAAACAATATCTTAGTAACATGACTAAACAATGCAACAATGTGTTATAAGATGTTTTTGGTAAATGCACTAAAGCTATAAACAACGCTTCAAAAACAATATGTTGAACAACACCTTCTTAAACATGCTCTCGTACTAAATAAATATTACTAAACGATGCGCTAATAATAAATAACTTTTAAAGACTAAACGATACATTCATACTAAATGACGTTTTCATCCAATGACGAAACCTTTATGAATTAGTATTTGGTATCTTTTCAAAAGTTCTTAAACAATTTACATATATAGAAAAGTTAACAAAGTTGTTTTGAACACGTAATGCAAAGCATTAAATGCACAACGTTTCAAACAACAAAAATAAATAAGAAAAATGAAATATATGCCAACATGCATTTCTACTCTACTCTGTGCATATGTCTATTGCATGTATCCATCTGCTCCATCATGAATAAGTTAGAACTAGACATTAGAAATAAAGAAGACATTCACGGAATATTCTCTTCATCAAAAGTCGTGTTGAAGATTTTGTACAACCTACTTTGGTTAAAGTACTGCAAAAATCATGTTTGCTCTAACATGTTGACTTTAACCTATGGCTGCTACCTACGAAAAGGCTACAAAGATTTGAAGATTAAAGACAAGCATTGTCTAATGAATCTTTTTTCATGAAGCCTATAAATAGAAGATCCCTTGGAAAGAAGATCAAGAAGGATAAGCATACGAATAACGAAAATATCACAACTTACTTGTGCAAGAACAAAGAGTCTAAGAATACACTCTCAAGCTTTATAGAGTCATAAACTTACATCTGTAAGAAAAGAGAAAATCTTAAAAGGTCTATTAGATTGAGTTGTATTATAAACACATTCTCTTTATTAGAATTATCATTTAAGACTTGTAAACAATCTGATTGATTGTACATTTTGAAGAGAATTCAAGCACTTGATGGTTAGCTCAATTGAGTTAAGCGCCTATTAGACAATTGTCTAGGAGAAACTAGGAGTGGGTAAACTCAGACTAATCAGCATAACAATTGTTACTAGGATTGACTAAGGTTAGTAGGAGTGGTGTCTAATACTCAGTTATAGTCAGAGTAACAGGTGTTACCAGGATTAACTAGGGTTGTCAAGAATGATGTTTAATACTCAATTCTAGTCAACATAACAGTTGTTACCAGGATTGATTAGTGTAACTAGGAGTGATGCTAATACTCAATTATAATCTTGTTGAGATTATAGTGAAACAGTTCTTAGAGGAGAACTAAACGTAGTTTAGTTAAGTGAACCAATATAAAATAATTGTTTATTGTTTTAGATTTACAAAACACCTTATTTATAAACACTATAGTTGCTTAAAAAGTTAACCATTGATAAACGCTTTTGTCATCAAACAATATTTTCCTTAAAATAGTCTTTCTTAAAATGCTTTAGTAGTTTTGCTAAATGTTTGAAAAACACTTTATTTCTAAACATTATGGTTTAAATAGTGCCTTATAAATCAAACGTCTAACAACCTGTGTAGACTTTCACCAGCACTCCTGACAAGGCCATTGGCTGCCTCATGCAGCTACTAGAACATCGTGACTAGGAATACTACCAATTGAAAGACAAGTTTAGAAACTTTATGGCCATGGTCATGAAATTGCTACCTGAAGCTTCACAGCTTCATTCCACCGTCCCTCTGACCCAACTAAGAGCCTCTTCATCACCTAGCGTCCCACAACAACCCACATAAGTCCATCCCACATGAGTCTAGCCCACACCAGTGTGCCCCACCTAGAGAGCAACAAGATGATGAAGACCATTTTGATGATGACTATGTAGATTATTGGTATTATTATTATTATTGGACATAATTATTAGAACATTATGATTATGCTATATTATAATATTACATTTTCTTAGGTGTTTCAAACATATACTTTGTTAGTGTAGATGAACATATTTTGTTTTATATTTTATGTCACTTTACAAATACAAGTTCTTGAATTTGAATAATACAAATAAAGTCATATTATTTAATTCATTAGTGATTGGATTATTGTGGGATACATATAATGCATGTTTGTTTGTGATTTGAAAATGTTATGCAGGTTTGTGTAGTTGGATAACAAATACAAAATTGATCTGCATTCTGCTAGGGACATTCCTATAGACTTACCGACGACCAAATCCTTTGGTAATTACCGACGGTCTATACCTTTGGTAATTACCAACGGCCTTTTTCTTTGGTAATTACTGATGGCCTATTCCTTCGGTAATTATCGACGATCTTTTATGTCGGTAATTACCGAGGGATTAGACCGTCGTTAATTACTGAAAGATTTAACCGTTGGTAATTACCGAAGGCAATTATCTGTCGTTAGTGGTTACCAATAATGGATTTACCAACGGATAATTGCCCGTCGATAATCCATCAGAAATACAATATTACCATTGAGTTTTGTATGTTTTTTATGGACTTAGTCCGTCGATAATCCCAACTCTTTTTGTAGAAAATCATAAATGGTTAGAATACTTGTGAACTAAGAGTGATTAAACTCGGACTAGTCATGTTTACTAGGTAAACCAAGAGTGGTAAGAATACTTGCGTAAACTTGTAGAGGTAAAACTCATGTAATATTGTTAAAAGATTAGTAGAACCCCTTAAGAGTTCTTAAGGAAAGAACTAGACGTAACTGAGGTTAAGTGAACTAATATTAAATTTGTTGTTTATTGTTTAGCCTTTTTAAAACGTTTTTCATTTACCCATCTCATAAAAACTAGCGTCTAAATATTTCATAATTTATACATCTTCATTATAAAGCATTAGATGTTGCTTTGTAAAGGGATTTTGAAAACACAATTCACACCCTTCTCTCTAGTTTTTCCTGTATTTTCATTTTGTCGTCCAACTTTAGAACTGCATGGATTTCTTGTTTTTAACCAAATTTTGTTAAGTTCATTCACATGTCATGCATTGTACATTTACAAACCATTCTATAATATATAAAATATGTCTTCATCATTCATGGCCTGAAAATGCCAAGTTACATGTTTCACTACCTTTTTGCATTTTATACATTATTGAAATTTGATAAAATTAATATTTAAAATTTATGGCCACATTAACATGATAACATTAATGTAACAACCAAAAATGTGAAAACTATATTCTTATTACAAAACACTAAATGTAAATCAAAGTTGTCAGAGTGAAGGATATATTTTGAAAACAAGTTATACAAGTTTGAGCTCGATCCAATCATTAAAAAAGGTGGGATCAAATTTTTACTAAATTAACTCGAAAAAAGAAATAAGTGACAATAGTTCACTTTGCGAAAATTTTTTCTTGAACCACATATTTCTAAATGGAGATTCCGGTAATCAAAGTGAAGTACTATATCTTAATAACTCTAGATAAAAATTTCATTTCGATTCAACTATTAACGAATCGGGAATAAAATGTTTACTAAGACAACTTAGCTTTAGGTATATGTGGAGACTTAAACTTTATACTAAAATAAGGAAATTATTTCTCTTAGCATAAATTTTTAATTATAAATTCCATTGGTCATAGTGGAGAATAATATTTCAATAATATGTTATAAATTTTTTACTTAATCTAATAGTTTATGAGATTGTAATAACAATTTTTTACCGAGGTAACTTAAGAATAGGAACTAGTTGGATCTCAAAATCATTTTTTAATTTTTACAAAATTATTTTTCATAATTTCTCAATTTATTTATATAAACATATTTAAATAAAAAAAACCTAAATAT